GTGAGAAAGAGGCAGCTCAGCAGTGGACTCTGATAGACTGATGATGATGAATATTAATGCTTTGTACTATCTGTATTTAGTTCAAATAAAACTACTTTTAGCTATATACTTATATATCTGTTCCCGGTTCTCCACTACCTCGCCGGGAACCGAACCCGGAACCCGCTGGACAATCACTATAATACTTTTAACTATATATATGTTTCAGATTTTGCAGACATAGTCGAGATATAGACTATGTATGTATATAACACCCGAAAATAAAGGTGAGTGACCTCTATCATCCTTACTATACCTATTACCCCCCATTTTCGGTGTTTAATTTTTTCCTTGTATAGCAATTGCCGCCTCAACTGGAACCCGTAGATCCGAACTTGTGCGTCAGTCGTTAGGAGACACAGCTGCGACTGTTCTGTCGCAGGACGTTCTATATATATATATAATAATAACTAATGCGTCAGTCGTAGCAAATGTTGCGACAATACAGTCGTGCGACAGTCCCGTCGCAAGTCAGTCCCACACAAGTTCGGTGATACGCGGGCGCAGTTTTGGCGGGTGTTCGTCGTATCTTCGTTTTATTTTTATATTTTACTTTATTTAATTTTTTTTTCCATTCGTTTTATTTTTCACATATATTTTTATTTAATTTTCAATTTTATTTCACTTTAACCTTAAAGTTAAATATTTTTGTTGTCATCTTCTTGTTAACTCTCGAAACGTCTGTACTTGGCTTGACTAACATGAGATTGTGTTTCATAATTTTACAATATATTACATAGAGATAAAATACGCTAGACAATGTTACAATACGGTTCACAAGGATACAATACAGTTCACTATGTTACAATACATTTCATAGCGGTACAATACAGTTCACAGTGTTACAATACGGTACATAAATGGTACAATACGAGCTATAAAAGGATGTTTCTTGGAAGATAGCCGCCGGCGAGGTGAGGTAGTAGGTTGTATAGTACTGAATTACAACTATTGGGAGAGACTGTATAGCCTGCTAACTTTCCAAGCTGGCGGCTTGAACTGCGCTGGAGGAACGGACAACGAGCTGGTCTACAATGAGGACACACACACATATACACACACACACACGCACACAGACACACACACGCACACGCATACGCTGATGTGTTACAATACATTTCATATTGATAGTAAAACAATAATATCGTAATTTTGCGAATGTTTTTATTTGTATTGTTGTATAGTATGTTTTATTAAATTGATCATATATATGTATAAAATATACAGGGTGACTGGTGAATTACTATCAATATTTAAGGAGCATACTCGGTACATGATTCTCATTCGAATTATGTAAAAAAAATAGGTACTTAATTTTTGACCAAATTTCCGTATGAATAAATAAAGTGTGTACACGTTCCAAGTGTTCCAAGTGTGAACGCGTGCGGCGGCGTGCTGATACAACAACACGCCGCCGCGCGCGTATGTGTGAGTGTGTAGTGTAGAGTAATCTGTAGGGTGTTCATACGATGCGTAATTAATTACACAACTTTTGGTTAACTTTACTTAGAAGTTTATTAATATTTATGTTATATTAATTTTTATTTCGTCATATATGATCATCAAATATCACGTCCTCAAATATTGATAGTAATTCATCAGTCACCCTGTATAAATGTAAGATTATATTGTAATTGATAATGAAAATTATTGTAATTGTTAAATAGATTTTGATAATATTTAAAATTTGAAATAAATAGATTTTAATGATTGTTATAAAGATTTAAATTAACAGTTTAAATTTTAATATATTGTGAATGTAGTGTTTAAATATGTATATGTGATTTGTAATGTTTTTTCGTTTCTTTTTTTATTTTATAATTATATATATTTATATTATTTTAATCTCGTGGATGTGATGATAATAAACGAATTTGAATATATCTGTTGTTTTTTATTTAATAAGACTTGAATTAGATAAAAAAGTATAGGACAAAGAAATAAAAATAATATTATATATATAGATTTCTACATGATTCGTTCCGAATAGTAACCCCATGGCCAGGTGTTGAAGTAAAAAGCGGAATAGGGTAAAAACTAAAAAAAAATATACATTCAACCCTAATCCTACCCTTAAAAAGCACCCTTTGTGTAAATTTTTTTCGCAAATAATTCGCTGTTACAATTTCCTATCAATAGTTAATTATCTGCAGTTCGATTTCAGACAATAAGTTGAATTCAATTCATTTTTATTGTACAATGAAAATAAAAAATATTAGCAAAAAGTTTAATTTTTTCAATAATAATAATTATTATTATTATAGCTCATGTTATGGTTAAGAATTTAAGTTTATGAGAGGTTACGTTAAAAATTAAATTTACTTATTTATTTTAGATAGATAGATAGAATTATTATTTACTTTTTGTTTATATATTACTTTATTGTTACTTAATACATAAACTAGAAGAGCTATTACAACGTTTTGTATGGACAGAGATAATGCAAGTTATTTTCTGACTGCGAGAGAAACCGTATACATGAACTAGTTAAACACATTTGATAATTATTATAAATTTAAATAATAAAATATTACGAACTACAAATATTACAGATTAAATTTGAGAAATGAAACAAATTAGACGCTTTTTTTTAAACGTAACTATTAACAACATAATAATTTATGAAAAAACCTTAGAAGTAATTTTTTTATAGTAAACTACGTTACGATCATTTGAAAAAATATAAAATAAGATAGAATTATATTACATACAACAGGTAATATATGAAGAACATGTATATTCAAGCAATGAGTTAGAAAGATATATTTAAAAAAAATAACAAAAAACATGTACAAAATCCTTAGAAAAACAAAAATGTCACTGTATTATTAAAGAAGGATATTAAATTCTAATTTAAGTCTATTCATATTTCTACACGTTCGTAGTAGTATTTCTCCTTTTCTTATAAGAACGTTGGATAAGTAGATTCATTTTTGCGCCATCTAGTAGTGAATAGTGAAACTACTTAGATAACTCGTTTAATATATTTATTTTCTATTTTTGAAAAGCAAATTTTAAATCACAATTATCGACGTGAAAAAAACTAATTCTTTCCAGTTTTTAAAGATAAATTTATTATTTAAAGATATATAAAATATTTCTCAGCTGACTGATGATTCATGCATTACGTCATGTTTTAATTAAATTGCTTTAGAAAGAAAGGCAGAACATTTTTTTATGCGGCAACACATAACAAAAAGTCAATCAAGTGTCACATTGTATAGTATAAACTTTATTGTAACGTAGGAAGGATTACAATCCTTGAAGAATTCGTGACGGAAGTCAGACGAAAATAGGATTGCCAACGATTTGAGTGACGTCACGCGAGCTGCCATAGAGCCTTGAGCCTTCTAAAATTACATGAGAGCAACGAAATATATTAATTGGACGTTTACGCTCCAATTTTCAGGTATTCTAATGTAAGTGAACAGTGGCCAGTGAACGGTGTGAAGTTGTAAATAAAATTACTACTGGAATACCACAGCAATTGTTATATGTTGGAAATCAGTTGCTTTGGTAACGACAATCATATTATTCCGTGAGTATCACATATAATAATCTCCAATGCAGTAATTTGATCGATTCAACGGCACGCTAGGATTTATTTGTAAAAATCTAATTAGCTTTCGTACAGCGCGCCGTAATGCGAAATCGCATTTGGGGCCGCTAAAAATAAAACGTGAGTATTTTGGGTGTTAATTCTGTTATTCCGTGTGTTGCGGAGTATGGGTGAGTGGTGTGAAAGTGATTTAAGATAATGTAATATTTCGACCCCATAGCGTTATGGTGCGGACTCATGAGTATCGGATTACATGTGTTTAAAATAAATCGTGGGTAAAACTACGCATCAGCGCCGATCAATGGTGACTGTGGCCTTGACATGCTAAATAATAATCATTGTAAACATTCACATTCTGACAGTTTGTTTGTGAGTTTTAAATATTTTTACACACACAGATAGACAGAGTACATTCTGTACTATCAGGCTGGAACAAGATTATATAATAATCAACATAAAATTATCAAAAAATTCCTGACATCGAAGTTATTTTACCAGTCACTTATAATATATTATGTAAATCAATTTAAACATATATTAGTGATATGATGACTCACTTTTAGTCCAAATTATTCTCTCAATATATTTCTATGTGATACCTCATCTGAATAACCAATACTAATATTAGAATGAAAAATGTGTATCATTAATTCACATACAAAATAATATATACCTAACACAGAAACTAAGACCATTAATAAATTATTAAATGTATTTTAGTTTGATAAATAATTATTTTTATATATATTAAAAGATAATCATCAAAACATATGCAATTTGGTTACTCACAAACTCTTGAGCTCTTCATTAGTAATACTTGCTTATAATAAATATATATGTATCATTATATACATATATAAATATAATTTACATTGATAATTATGAAAAAACCATCATAAGTATATAAATCTATTAATATTTTCAACATTAATTCCACTTAATGCCAAAAATCTTTGAATTTCAACTAAAAAACACACAATATATATACATATCTCATATATACAAAATAGTTTTTATACAATTATTGTTTCAACACAAGAAAACTACTATATAATGTGTCATACAAAAATAATAGAAAAATATATGTACTACAGTGACTTATACGGACATCTAACAATATATATATATATATAATAATATTTGTATTGATTTTGTTAACTTATTAATATACATAAAAAAGGTAATCCCAGATAGTCTTACTTATAGTATTATATAATTTAACTAACTATTTAAACCATTAATAATTAATTGGTTTAGCATATTCAATAATGAATGTCATATAATATATTCCTATAAAGATATAATCGCATTAAGAGTCGACGTAAATGTATACTATTGTTTCAGGTATTGTTAAAATGCAAAGGAAGCGTCCGAGATTCAAGAAACAATATAATTAAACAAAATGCCAGTCGTATCACCATCTCGGTACACACCAACATCGTCAACGCTGACTGGGTCTTATCGATCTACCCTAACATCAACTTCTAGTATTGATAAGCCGTACTATAGAAGTTCTAGCGGCACATATGTTACTTCCACTCTCCGAAGCAGCTATGGCGATAGAACCACAGAATATAGGTCAAGATACAGCGATGTCGATGGAAAGAGAGAGAGGAAAACATCACTCGTGGAATATTCTAGAAGTTCTCGAGCACCTAGCGCTACAGACTCAGACAGCGGTATATCTAGATATAGATCTGACAGAAGCGAATCTAGATCTAGAGATGTATCTACAACTAGAAGCGAAAGTTCAAGGAATGATAGGGGAAAGAGGAATGTAATTAGTACCGCCGCGTTGGCTATGTCGACAGCGGAATTGTACAATAAGTATAGTCCGGCTAATTACGTGCCCTTAACGCAAAGAATACAACAGCAAAGCCAGAATAATTATAGCGAAATATCTAGATCGAAATCAATATCCAATGATATAGGACGGCCACCGGCTCCGGAATGCAGAGTCAGGAAACCGAGGAACTCAGCGGCGACCATATCAGAGGTAAAATCAGTTTTTTTGGTGCTCTTATGAAATCTCGTTTCTGAGGGTAGAATGAAATTTCAGAAGAGCACCATATACAAGTCACTTGTAAGATAAACACTTGTTTATCAACGGGAATCTTTTATATAAATAAAAAATGGTTATTAATTTCGGTAAGATATTATTCAATTTGAAGAACTCATGAAAGCTATTATTTGGTCAATACTTCTTCATTCACAGCAATTTTTTCTTTTTGGAATCTTAATCTAGTCTAAATTTTCTTTTGCCTTTATCATTTTAATTTTTATACAGAATATCAATGTCGTAAAACACTACATATTTGTGTTTTGGGCCAAGAATGTAAATTTTTTACAACAATGAATAAAAATCAATGATTTCATGTAAAATTTAGATTTTGTTTTATAAAGCAAGTCCATGATTTAAATCTTAAAAGAGAATAGTATAGTTAATAACATCTCAAGTCCTCATCACATTTATAGATAGTATTTTTAGAGTAAATCTATCTTGGCCACCAAATTTCTGCCAGTGAATTACGTAGCATTTTTCCATATCAGATTATCTTACTGCCTTTTACTTTGAAATCATTTTTAAGGCTAAGCCAATATGCTTCTATGTAAGATGCCCATCCCGCAGATAAACAAGTGTGTGTGCGTGTGTGTGTTTATGTTCTTAACATCGCACTTAACGAGCCATACCAGCTTCCAATAGAGCCGCGTGCCGAATGAAACACTTCTATAACGAAAAATTATTATTCTGCCAACTGGGCCAATTGTACTATATTTTGTGTATTAACAAGTCTTTCTTCGGCACCCTTCTAGCATCGTAGTAACATACGGTCGGCATGTGCGGAGTAGAACTAACACATACACACGCTATTACCATTAAGATATCCATTAGCTAAGTGTTATATTTTAAACAAAACCAGAAACCTGAAAGCAGAAGATACAAGGAAGGATCTCCCACACCGAGCTACAGCAAGAGAACTTCAATGACGAACGGTTCAAAAGATAGCAACGGTAATGAAGTGCCTTCTGTCAGTGATATAAAGAAAAGATTCGATTCAAAAATGACCGTCACAAAACTACCAACCAACGATATTAGATACACTAAAACTATGGAACACTACCTCAACCAGTTGAAAGATTGCGAGAACGGTGTCGGTTATACTAAAACGAATACCAAAGACGAAAAACCAGTGCCCATTCACTTGCCATACTCAGATAAGAATGGTGTTAATAGATACGAAGGTTCTCCCACCTCTAGGAACTCGAATTCAGATCTGACCATAAGCAAAACACTATCCGAACCAGTGTCATTAGCTAAACCATCTATAGATAAAAATAACATTATGTCCGCTTCACTAACTACGAAACTTCCATCCGAACGACTAGCAAGCATTAAATCCCAATTAGACCCAAACAATCCTATAGGAAAAATATTAGAAAAATCAACAGTCATCCAAGTAGAAAATGGAGATGTAGACTACAATGAACGTAGAATACGTTATAGTCCAGAAGTTAAGATAAAAGAATTGAAAAATGACATCGAAAAACAGACAAAAACTCCAAAACACACTACCAACTTCGCGTCATACATACAAATATCACAACCAGTAGCATCTGGCGCTACCCCAAAAAAACATCTCGAAACCAACGACGAAAAGAAAGAACGGAAAACAATAAAATACATAGACTCAGAAGACGATAGATTGGTTCTGGAGAACGATATAGAATCACCAAGCGGAACGGGATTCGAGAACAAAACATTCGAGCACGAGAACTTCATTAAGAAGAGAATAGAGAAGACTGATGCAGAAGATAAAGAAGACGGCATCAAATCTATGGAAACTAGTACTGAAAGCACTATTAGTGGGTCCACAGAAGACTCCAGCCCGGAAACACCAACCGCAAAAAGAAATATCCTCGACTTGAAAGACTACGACTACATAAAAACGGTAAGTGATACATTCGTAGGTCTAAGTATTATAAGTATGTATTGGCAACAAAATTTATTATAGACAAAGAAAGGTGCTTAAACATTATTTTTTCCATTAGATTTTATGTGTTTCAAGCGTAATATATAATAATAAATATAATTTTTCATTAACATAATGAGATCTAAGATTTTCGCGAGTATTCTTTCAAATAAAACTACATATTCTGTTTCGGCTACTTTTCAAAACCGTAATCATGCAAACGAGACGTGAATTCACAAAATAAGCATAGTATAATCTGAAAAATATTAGCTTTTTTGCAAATAAACTAAAGATTGAAACTAAAATCGATTATTAGTTGATTTGAATCAAAAAAATCTTCGCAATAGTACCATTTGTTACTAAAAGTTGTGCCAAAAAATGTATATGTTGTTTAATATTGCTCGAACTATACGACAGTCGCCTGTTCTCACTCTACTCGTAGGTTCATTGGCATTTGTAATGGGGACGTGTATTTGCGTGTACATCCGTATATAAAAATTCTTGTTTAATTCTTTTAAACATATAAGAAAACTTCTTTTAAGTGGATTATATCTATGGTGTATTAAAATGAGGAATATTTATTGATATTTGCGATTTCGTAGTCGTTTTTTATTCATTTTTGATGGTTATAAAAAATCTATAATTGAACGCGTAAATATTTAAAATTAGATTATCCCTACTAATATTATAAATGCGAAAGTAACTCTGTCTGTCTAAACCACTGAACTGATTTTAATGAAATTTGCTACAGATATAGAGTTGACCTTGAGAAAGAACAGAATAGTTTTTATCCCAGACTTTTGTAAGGTTCTCTTGGAAACGCGATATAATCGAACTCCAAGCGGGCGAAGCTGCGGGCGGAAAGCTAACTAGTTCTTAATACTTTAAATAATGTAGTCAAAATATGTAATATTTTTTATATATAAGTATTAGGACTCATCATGTTAAAAAAGTCAGTATCAAGAATAGTCAAATCTTTACGTGGATTTATATAAATATAATTTATATTAATAATAATATATTATATAGGATTTTGAAGATTCATTCCATTCTAGATTCGCGTTTATTAAAACACAAAACACACTGTCATTGTCGGACGCTGCCAAGTTTTTGTTATCCAAACGCTTCCATAATAGGCATCGCATACTGTTTACTATAAAAAAATTATATTAACTTAGGTTTTCCTACATAATTAATTCAATAATTACATACAAAGTATCTGACTCAGTTCCCAGACGTCCGCACATCTTAATAGATTCCTAATCTATAAATAAGTAGATGGAAATGTCGACCGGGCGACTTTTCTCGCCACGCGGGAAATTCGACGTCCAGCCGCGCGCCATTTCGTGACAATTGACAATTTTTATCACACACCAAACAGTTTTTAACTAATAGTTTTTATGTATCAGTAATTGTGTTTTAATAAGTGTTAAATAAAGTGAGGTTGTATTGAAATTTTATAAAGAATTTTTGATCGTAACAATATATAGGCCTGTTATATTTAGAGTTATTAGTCACTATCCTTTAAAGATTTCCTTAAAATACACTCAGCAGATGCTTGTGAAACGTTGCATTGGTTTTGGCAGTCTCAAACATAAGAGTATATGAGACAAAATGTGTCATTAATATATAGTAATGAAAATATTTATTAGTATAATTAAACTAGTATTTAACCACGGTTTCGTCTGCTCTTATATAATTACTAGCTACCCGCCCACCCCTTCACCCGCGTGGAGTTCGGTTATATCGCGTTTCCAAGAGAACCTTTCAAAAGTCTAGGATAAAAACTACCCTTTGTTCTTTCTCAAGGTCAACTCTATATCTGTACCAAATTTCAATAAAATCAGTTTAGTGGTTAAGGCGTTAAAGCGTAACAGACAGACAGAGTTACTTTCGCATTTATAATCTTAGTAGGGATATTGATAGTAAAAAACACATGTAAATATAGTCCCATGCCTGCTTAAAATGTTCATATATTAGTAGCTCAATATATTTTTCCCTATTTTGCGTGTAATCTGTTACTTGCAAACCTACAGTTTAAAGTTTAAACTATAATTTCAATCGTATACTACCAAGTTGAATGTTTTCGGTCAATCAACATAAGACCTCCTCGCTAAAGACGTCGTATCATTTAAATAGCGAAATGTCAAGTGAAATTATTTTGTAAATTGTATTTTGTATACGTAATTTTTATGTGTTTTATTTTTGGTTGTGAAGTGATTATAGAAGCTGATTATTAATATCAATACTCCGTAATACTCACATCTTTGCCTGGTATCATAAATATTGTTTTAATCGATTTCTTTAGATTCAAGATTTGCTATCAAACTAATGTATTTCATGCAACTGTTTTTATTTGCATAGCCAAGTATTTTAATCCTTCCAAGTATTCGAAAGATTCGTCAAAGTTAATGTTTCTGAAATTTCTGCATCATTGAAGGACCATAATATTGAGAAATTTGTCATATTCGAATAATTTTCTTAATTTGTTCTATAGATGCTGCATTTTGCTTATAATTTCCTCTTTTTTGTCGAAACTTACATATAAATAAAGCAGAAAATTTTATTACTTCTGTATGTAAATAAAATGACTCCATATTTCTTTTAAAGGTGGCCCAGCAAATGTTTTATTCCTCTATCAAAAGACTAAACGGTCTCATTGCTTGTATTTAATAATTATATTATTAAATTTTATTTGGTGTAATAGTATACATTTTTCTTCTAATATTTTCTAACACTTGTGATATATATAATTTTCTCTAATTAGTCTTTTTACCTGTGATCTATAGTTCATTACATTGTCTTAGGGTTTAGGAATATATTTTTTATTAACAAACAGACAGACACTTCATCCTAATTATTGAGAATACATCAAATCATATTCACCTTATTTTTGTCAATCAATTAATTTTGGTGTATTTCAACCCTACATTTGTATTTTTTGGTCCAGAAACCAACATTGAAGGTGCATTATCTTTATATGCACTAAGTTTTCAGTTTTAAAGACGGTTTTTCAAATAAAACCTTCTCTATATTCAGGCCATTCCTTTATTTTGATCAGAATCTTCCCTTTAGTGAGCCATTATTTTCGCTCAAACCCTGCAGTATAACTTCTCATAACATATTCTGTTTCGTAATAGTATGTGGATTTCTTACTATGTCTTCTAAGTATAGTTAGTGCGCACCGCGAAGCCCTACGCTGTCAATATTTTGTATCGTAACCTTGCGCTCTGATAACCCTCTAGCGGGCAGATAGTTTATATCAATCGATATTACGTATACGATTGTGAAATTTTGGCAACTCTTGCCTCTACACACCGCCAACCATCTACCTCAGTGCACGACGGGCGATTAACGAGCTATGTGATTTTCCCCCACGAAATGCCCTATCCCCCAGGAGTCACCTAGCCCTGGAACTCTTAATAATCAGCTTCTTAATCACGTATCAAGCTAAGCATCACTCAAAAGACATTAATGGACCATGGACTTTGAAATAGTGATCGACCTTGTCTAGTGTGTGCCAATGAAAATTAAAAGTGTACTCGCCACGGCCGTGAAATCATAACTAAGTTAGCTGCCAATGATATATATGAAAGAGGAATATATTAAGTGAAATGTGACTTTCGGGATTGTGATAAATTTTATATACTGACTTATATTGTGATACAACAGATTGATTGATCTTGAAAAATTATCTTTTAAGATAAACGCGAATATCGGAGATATCTTTTATCTAATTAGTTATTTCACTTGTATAACATTTATCTTATCTTTTAATATTTTGTAACTGCTCCAAATCTTAGATTCGGTATCACGCCAAACATTAAACTGCTCACGGAGAAGATAAAAGATAGCCACCAAAACCAAGTGACGAAACTAGACTAAAAAATATAAAATAAATATTTACGTTACAAAAAAAGGTGAAAATACTGTTAATATAAAGCAAAGTTAAACCAAAAAAAGGCAAAAAAAAAATCTTGAAAAGTAAACAAAAAAAGTACTGATAAAATACAAAAGTGTTTGAAGTGATAAACTGTATAGAGAACATAGAGGAATAAATTTACGGATACTCATATCTGAATGAAATTAATTCTATAATGATATAGAAAACAGTGTTTAAGAAGACGTACATACAAGTGTCTCTAGTACCAAAAAAAAAAACAATTCATTTGACTCAAAATTGATCACGATTCAGTTGATAGAATCGCTCAAGAGGAACAACTGATATAAGACTATCTTAGTGCTATCGTTAACCAAGTTAAAAGTGGAATTTCTGGACTTTATGCTCGTTTTTGTGGAGCTGTTGGTGCTGGCATGCATAGGCACGGGCATGCTGTCGGCTTTAAAACATGAGGTGCGGCTGCCGGCGCTGTTACGAGCCGCGGGCAAGGGTCAAACCGAAGATAGCATATGGCATACATTACAACCAGGTCTATGTATAACATTATTGGTATTTTTTGATGGACATCTTGAACAGCTGACTCTATCATGAGCGGCCTGCAAAGATTAAGTAGTTTTCTCATTTTGGACATTTAATATGCTAATGATAAAACTTGTAATCTCAACTTTATTAAACTAGCTTCCCGACCGCAGCTCCGCCCGCGTGGTGTTCGGTTATATCGCGTTTCCAAGAACCTTTCAAAAGTCTAGGATGAAAACTATCCTGTGTTCTTTCTGAAGGTAAACTCTATGTCTGTACCAAATTTCATTAAAATCAGTTAGTGGTTTAGACGTGAAAGTGCAACAGACAGAGTTACTTTCGCATTTATAATATTAGCAGGGATTGCCCTTAGTTTGGTGATAGATATCTTTCAATCAGTTTTAATTTAACGAGCAAATTATTTTGGTTGCTACTGATTCTATTTCGAAGGTAGATTTTGATATATTTTTTATCGTGTTTTTTTATAATAAACGCATTACGTCCGTCAGTGCGCGCGGCCCAGGCGCGACTGCCCGCTAGAAGACCGGATTTCTCATCGGTGACATTGATACGGATGGTATTTTAGCTCTTATTAGTGGTGCATTGGGGTTGGATTCGTTTGCGTGCTTGCTGTGACGTCATACAATCCTTCATTTGGGGCTTTGATGACCTCTTTTTGTGTAATTCCTTGTCAATAAACGTATTCATATATTCATTTGACGATTTTTTGTTTATCGAGTTATAGGATTCATTATATGGGTATAAATTTTGTTGCCAATACTAAGAAATATATGTGTACGTAAAATATGTTACGTTATTCTGCCAGCGTGTGTGTTTATATTTTTTAAATTATCATTTATCATTCACAACGCAACGGTTCCATTGTGTGTAAGTTTTTGTTTTTTGCATGTCGTAGTTAGTCTAATGGTATTAAAATTGATAATTTCTAACGAATTTACTAAGTTTTTAGGTATGGTCTAAAAGTTTTTTAGCCAAAAAAAATCCTTTTAGTTGTTTATTAAAGTTTCGATTTCACAAATATGTATAATTTTAAGATAAATTCTAATAAATTAATAACACTTCATATCTGTAAGTTAACATTACTGTATGTAATAATCGTTTATGTGCATTTTTACCTGAACTTTTTTCGCTACTACCCAAGAAGTCCCATATAACTATTACAATTAAAGGAAATATTAATTGTCGATCTATTTGCTTTATCCAAAGCATTTTTTTTTCCAATACTTCTAATGCAATTTGAACACAAAAAAATATACGTAAATTTTAGGTTTATATATAGTTTTTATCAAAAAATAATCCTAAACGATGTATATACATTATTTCTTGCTCATGGGTATATAACTTTTTGGTCTTATCGTGTAAAATACGATGCAGGAGTTGGCCGGTGGTAAGAGCGGTCCCAGCGGTCTGAGACGCAGCCTCGAGAGGGACGTCAGCGAAAAAACTGAAAAGTCCAGCCAGACCAGCGGTGAGTGAAAATAATAACAATATCTTCTTCTTCTATATATATAAAAATGGATTGCTGTTCCTTAGTCTCGCTAAAACTCGAGAACAGCTGAACGGATTTATCTTATCTTAGTCTTGAAATGTTCGTGGAGGTTCAGGGAAGGTATAAAAGCTGAAAAAAAATTATTCATTACTGAGAAAACCATAAAAACAGCCCTTTTCTATTTCCCATACAAACGTTTTTTTTGACATTAGATTTGACAACTAACTAATATGTCAATCATTCTATCGCACTTCAAAACACGGAGATTTATGGCTTAAAATATAAATTAAAAAACGTAACAGATATTTCTTCATTATAGGGCGATACGAAGTTCGCCAGGTCTTCTAGTAGATACATAAAACACTGAGTAATGGCCAAAAATTGCATGCAAGACGCAATTAAATGTGAAAATATAGAACATTTTCTCATATTGGTGTATTTGAACCTAACGGGACAACTTAAAATCAGATTATTATCAATACTAAAGCAAAATAAATGTATTGATAATATATTAATAATTTGAAATTAGAGATTGTTCTTTAATATTGGTATATGTGGATAAATAGGCCAACAGAAGATTTCAAAATCATTTTCTCGTTTAAGTAAATCATGCAGGATGCATTTTATTGTAAAATTATAAAATATTTTCTCATATTCGTATGTTTGGACCAAAAGGCCCATGGAAGACACCAAAATTGGATTCTCAATACTAAAGTAATAATAAATAGCACCACAAAACATTTTGATTCCATCCATTGCAACAAATATATCTCGTAAAATATTCTCTCAATGGTATACTTTTTGACAATATTTCCGACAGACGATTACCTTAGGGTAAAGCTTCTCACCCTTTCCCATCCCTTCCCTTTACACTCCTTTTCTTTTTTTTCTCCCCTTTTCCCTAATCAAAGGTGGCAACAACATCAAAACTTGGTACTACCTCCATTAGGTAGGCAGTAGGCTATCTGCTCGATTGTCCTCTTTAGAATAAAAACTCTTCCTAGCAGATGTAGTTTAAAATCCAGGTGTGAAACCATTTCCAGGTCTGAACGGCCTCAGGAACATCGGGAACACCTGCTTCATGAACAGCGTGCTACAGTGTCTGTCGAACACCAGGCCGCTGCTAGAGTACCTCATAGATGACAAATACAACGCGGACATCAACACAACACTGTCATGTATGAAAGGAGCGCTCATTAAAGGTATTGTATATATATAATACTAGCTTTCCGCCCGCAGCTTCGCCCGCGTGGAGTTCGGTTATATCGCGTTTCCAACAGAACCTTTCAAAAGTCTGGGATAAAAACTATCCTGTCCTTTTCAAGGTCAAGTCTATGTCTGTACCAAATTTCATTATCAATATTAAATCAGTTCAGTGGTTTAGGCGTGAAAGCCTAACAGACCGACAGACAGAGTAACTTTCGCATTTATAATATTAGTAGGGATTATATGGTTTTGAATATAAACGAAATTAAAGAATCTTTATTATAAAAGAAATATATCAAGTTCATGTTAAATTTTGTATGAACATTTCATTGAGTGAAGTCAATTTATCTCGTCGTTTTGTCTTTTTGTATTTTTATCTTCATATATATATAAAAGAAAGTCGTGTTAATAACTCAAGAACGGCTGTACGGATTTGCCTGAATATTGGTAGAACCAGAAAAAAGACATACGATAATTTTCATTTTGGCCAATCGAAAGAATACTTAATCAATTTTTTATATATATGTAGCTGCGGGCGACATCTAGTTACAATATAATATAATGAGATACTTATAATAATTAATATTTTCACAGCGTTCGCCAGCGTTATAAAGGAGCTATGGCGCAGTGGTGACAGAGACTGTGTGGTGAACACTACCGCGCTCAAGTCACAGGTTCAGAGGTTCGCGCCCAGGTTCATGGGCTACAGCCAGCAGGATGCGCAGGTACAGACAGACAGACACACACAGACACACACACACACACATTCATAACCTGACAAACATATCAAGCTTTCTATATTGTTTCAATTTTTTTTTGTCCCTATATATTGTATTACTGTGACTGAAATTTATATTTCTCTTATAGAAGTCTTCTTTTGATTGTCATTTAGATTGATCCGCCTCGCATAGAACAGCTACTATTAATTTTTTAATCACCCAACAGTTACACTAACTATAGTAGTACAATGAGATGTAATACTTACGAGTTACTTTTAATGAAACGAATATTTTAAGATTACTACGCATATTTCATTATTTCAACTACATACTCTATAAGTTTCGGTTATTTTACAGCAACCGTGATCATGCAGACGAGATGTCGACAAAAATAAAACACGCATAGTATATCCGAAAAATATTAGTTTTTTTTCGTAAACAGCTATATTTATTTTTTAATCAACCATCATTATATTTAACGCCATCTAGTGTCTAATAGTTGTACTAAACGTTATTTCCAGGAGTTCCTTCGTTATCTGCTTGAAGGTCTGCACGAAGACGTGAATAGGGTCACAGTGAAACCTAAGCCAATACTCACAGAAATAGATGATAGTCTCAGGTAATATATACTTTATATTTATTGTCCAACGAAACAAGGTAATATATGTATTACCCCTACGAATTAACTGTGCACTTCTCTGGAATGCGACCCCTCTCCCCCTACCCCTCGCGGCGCCCCGCATTCGCTGTAAGCGCTCAGTAGCGATAGCATCTTTGTTACATTTACTTATCATTAAATACAAAAATGATCCTAAACTATGAAAAGTATCACCGCAATAAAAAATCTAGCGTCCATTTGTTTTTTTATTGTGAAGCTGTAATATCATATCGGTCCATATGTATCTATTTAATTGGAAATCTTCGTGAGTAAAATGACCTAGTATTATGACGCCTTATCGTAAAAAAAATTATTATTTATATATTTTTTATATACCTAATTCTCATTTTTTTTTTGCAAGCGGAATCTTTCTAATGACGTCACAGAGCTAGGTGCACAGTTAATACGTAGGGGTAATAAACAAACATTAGTTTTCATTGATTTATAGTCTAGAGATTGTAAGGGATAAAGATATTAATAATGTAATGGTCTTAGGAACTATTTTCTAGTTATACTTATTTACAAATTACTGAACAATATTATTACATATTATATAGGTAAGATATGTTATCAGTAAATCATATATATAGCTTTATACATATATGTGTAATGTAATAAAATATATTGGCATTTACAAACAAGAAAGGTGTGTTTGAATAGGATTTGTATCCTTTTTGACAGGACTAATTATCAGAAATGATATATTTTAAGGATAATTAAATTAAAATTATTTAAATGTTATATAATTTTTGTATTACAGTGATTCTGCCAAAGCGGCCGAGGCTTGGAGTAGATATTTAAGAACTGAAGATTCACGTGTGGGGGACATCTTCGTGGGTCAACTGAAATCTACATTGAGATGTACACACTGCTTACACGATAGCGTGACCTTTGACCCTTTTTGGGACCTCAGGTTAGTGACCTCTTAATATATATAGATGAAACCTCTCATCATTCCATGTATTCACGGTGCGTGTGTCGGGTCCATCGTTGTAGTGAGAGGAGCTTCAACAGTGACTGTGACTTGCGACCCAGGTGTAGGTTTAAGGGACCCTATCTAAAAGGTTTTTTTTATATGTATAAATAAATCTACGCATTTTTCTTGCTTAATTTTGTATAGCCCTCGCTGGAACGGATCGTAAATAATAAAAATCATTTCACTATGAAACCAATTGAACAAGTTTTGGTAATTTTGTGAGTCCTATTAAAAGTATCTTAATTGTATGATGATAAAACATATATTATATGAAAAAGCAAGGTCATGTATAGAGATTTAAACACAGAGGATATAAATGTTAAACTTGTTTACATAATTTTATTAAATTATCAATAAAATCACGAATTATCATATAATTAGTAATTACTTCTTATAAAATATAAATAGCTAAAAATATGTTACAATTTAAACTGGCTAAAATAAATAGTCCCTATTGTACTTCAAAGACTATTCAAACACAAGTATATGCATATTTTACATATACAAATATTTTCTGTATAAAATAAGAGTACCAATTATTGTAATATATTTTGTATGGAGAATAAGCAGCGATTAGTTCTTCTATTCACCACATTAGATGGAAAGTGGCGCTAGTAGCGATTCACGAAAGAAATTAAATCTATCGTCAATAGATGGCGCTTTGAACAAAATTATTAATCAATTATAATTATAACGCTCATATTTAGTTTGACTGATTATATTGTTAAAAAAAATACATTTATCAAAATATTGTATTAACTAAATTGGTCTTTTTAATATATTTATATGTTAATTCAGTAGTTTTGTTATTGATTTTTGATTATTTTTCTGTTAAATTCCCCCAGTCTGCCGATTCCCTCTCGCACTGGGAATTTGAAGCTACAGCAGTGTTTGCAGCACTTCGTTAGGGAAGAAGAATTGGATGGAGATGAGAAACCAGTGAGTGGAAATATATAAATATATATATAATTATTTAAAAGAACATTTGCGACCTAATAATAATAATAATCATTTATTTTTATGATACTTTCTTTTAAGTAATTTTAAACTATGTACACGTATATTTTACTTGACTACGTGGAGTCTTATCCAGTGTGCTAATATTGGTGAATCCCAGCGATCCAACAATGCATGCAGGATTATTGTTAACCTTAAATGTTTTCTCATGCTTTTTGAAAATTAATCGTAGTTTAAAAAAAAATGTAATGTTATCAGATTATGTCATAACATAAATACTTCCTATAATATACATTTCAATTTAAAGACGAAAAAAGTGATAAGTAATAATAAATATTTAAAATATAATCATCAATATATATTACATTGTCCTAGTTGTATGTAATACTTGTCATAATTCATGATATGATAATGATATGATATGTTTATCCAGACTTGCTCCAAATGCGGCGTTCGTCGCAAATGCCTCAAATGGTTCACAGTCCACAAGTTCCCTCAAGTATTGGTGCTACATCTGAAACGGTGAGAATTATTAACAATATAAGAATCCCTACTAATATTATAAATGCGAAAGTGACTCTGTCTGTCTGTTACGCTTTCACGAATAAACCACTGAACTGATTTTAATGAAATTTGGTACAGACATAGAGTTGACCTTGAGAAAGAACATAGGATAGTTTTTATCCCAGACTTTTGAAAGGTTCTCTTGGAAACGCGGTATAACCGAACTCCACGCAGGTGAAGCTGCGGACGGAAAGCTACTAATCTTTATATATAAAGAAAGTTGTGTTAGTTACACTATTTATAACTCAAGAACGACTGTACATATATGGATGAAAATTGGTGGAGAGATAGATTAGATCATAGAAAGGACATGGGATACTTTCAATACGATCGAAAAATAAGTTGATCAAATCCAAAATCTTATATACAGTCTTTAAAGAGGAATTGACTTCTGGACAGCTATACATTTATAATTCTGAAACGCAGACGAAGTTGCGACCAAAAACTAGTATATAATAAATTTTAATTAGCTCCATATATATTACAATTCCAGTTTCTCACCTACTGAACGTTTTCGCGGCAAGTTATCGGTTGTAGTTGAGTTTCCTTTATCCGGACTCGACATGTCTCCATTCGCTGCTTCGCCGACGCACGCCACATACAACTTGTACGCGGTCAGCAATCACTCGGGTGAGGATATATTACAATACACTGGGATAATACAGGGTTAAGGCAGTGTTACAATACACTGGGATTATATAGGATTATGGCAGTGTTACAATACACTGGGATAATATAGGGTTGTGGGTGTGTTACAATATACTGGGATGGTATTGTAAACTGGGAATTAAATAACTGAAAATCTACTCTAAAACCATCTAAGTCTAAACAAATGGTAAACTATTTATCTCATTTATTATTATACTATGTCATTAAGTACTGCAACATTAGGAGTGTAGAAAATCAGTATAGAAGCAACATGCTTCTATTTTTCACTGAGTGGTTCTCCTTTTGGTTAAATTACATTACTGCACACATATTATTATTATTATTTTTAACTTAATATTTGTCCTGTTGTACTTGTTATGTTATTTTATTTTCCTTTTTTGTATACATAGGATAAGTGTCACTCTGTTTTCATTTTGTTGTTTGTTTTGTACTGGTGCGTAATCTTTTGACAAATAAACGTTTATTATTATTATTAAGTATAAATCAAGGTTTTTGTTTCTCTGTCTGTCATTACGTTTATCTATGTAACATGTTATAATAACTGTATGTATGTATGTCCCAGGCACAACCTACTCGGGTCACTACACCGCGTACTGCAAACATCCATACACCGGTGACTGGCATGAATATAACGACTCCAGGTAACATATATACACCTTATATACTATATCTCTATATATATAATTCTTCTGTGAGTGTGTATGTCACTGAACTTCTCTCAAACGACCGGACCGATTTTAATGAAATTTTTTGTGTGTGTTCAAGGGGATCTTGGAATGGTTTAGATTCACAATTTTGTCTAATGGCTTTAATAGGTAAACTCCAAAAATATGAATAAAAAAACGTAACAGATATTTTTTGATTATAGGGCGATACAAAGTTCGCTGGGTCTTCTAGTATGTATATATATACATATTGTCGTGGATAGTGCAAATCCACGTAACTAACATTGGATAATTCAGTGTATCTACATTGGATGCAGATTATAAATAAACATTAATAATTACTAGTTGTGAAAAAATTACCTTAAAAGTCCTTAACATAGAAAACATTTCATCTCAAACTTTCTTCTGATAATCTGCTTCCAATGTAGATATGTACTCAGAATTATCCAATGCTAGTTACGAGGATTTGTACTATCTCCGACGAAATATGTAGTTTAATATATAATCATATGTATGTATATAATTTAATTTGAGTTGGTAACAAAATTATTATGTACATAGTAGCGCCATCTGTTAAATTGAATGTATATGTGTTTACCTTATAAGACGCAAAATAAATGTGTCCGTTAGAAGCTATCACCGTGTTTTAATACATAATTTATATGATTATTTTTTATAAAATTATCATTAATAGCTTATTAATTGATCATAGTAAACTTTTATCTCCTATCTCCTATATATATATAAAAATGGATTGCTGTTCCTTAGTCTCGCTAAAACTCGAGAACGGCTGAACCGATTTCTCTAATTTTAGTCTTGAAATACTCCTGGAAGTCCAGGGAAGGTTTAAAAGGTGAGAAAAATTGCCGGGAAAACCCTAAAAACAGCCCTTTTCTATTTCCCATACAAACGATTTTTTGACATTAGACTTGACAACTAACTAATATGTCAATCATTCTGTTCGATTGAAACAGTAGAAATTTAATAATACCAATACCGGGTTATTGAAGACGGAGTAGTTTTCCCGGTCAGCTATACCTATATTACTAATGACGAAATTAACGCGGACGAAGTCGCGGGCAAAAACTAGTATATAATATATATTGTTATTTATTCGCAGAGTGAGTCCCATCAGGTCCCGGGATGTTGTTTCAGCAGAGGCTTACGTTCTGTTCTACGAGTTGGCCTCGTAGCTGAGGAGGTATGTACAGACTGACATTATACACTTGAAACATACTACTTGACATATATATATATATAGTTAGTATTCATCATGAGTCTATCAGAGTCTAAAAGCCTCTTCTCACATGGAGAAGGTTAGATTATTAATCACCACGCTTGCCCAAGACGGGTTGATGATTTCAAACTTATAATTTGATATAAGTCCAAGTTTCCTCACAATGTTTTCCTTCACAATATATACATATATGTATATAACAAAAATAGTATTATTAGCTTTACAGCTGGATTTAGTGAGTCAGTTATTTTAAATACTGAAGTGTTAATATGTCAAAAATTTGAAAATAATATCAATTTTGAATGTATATACGTTTTCCTATATTAACATATATATTCTTATACTTTCAGATGCGCGGACAACACATGAGAACAATGCCTGGAGTTTTTGTTTGTTTATAAAAAGTTAGTTAGTTTGTGGTCGACAGATGAAAGAAAGCATTTATTATTTTGCCTCGGCCAGATACAAAAAACAAAAACTCCACTACTATGAAAACAACATATATATGTTGAATGCCAGTGCTTATATATGTATAGAATTGGTTAATATATATAATATATACAAAAGTCATATATATAAATCATAATGCAATTAACTCGATATATAAATAGATAAATTATGAAAAAATGATCTAACTTGTACATACAAGTTTTATTTCATTAATGAATATTTTAACTCAGGTAGGTTATAAAATTATTGTATTTTTCTTTCACTTCATTTATTTATATGTTTTATAGTTTTAATGTTAAATTTTCAAATTTTATTATTATATATATACATACTGTACAATAATTTTGTATGAGATTATTTAAAGAATTCATTATGTATGAAAAACATAGCCATTTGTTTCTTTTATAATTAAAATTGTCTTAGAATTATTGATTTGATATAAAAATATATATTTCTTTATTTATTAGGTATTGAGATATATGAAAAAAATTAAATACAAAAAAAAAACAGGACAATATGAAAAAAATTAAAACTCCAATATATTTAAAATTTATTTTTCGCCGGTTTGTGGATTATTGGGAGTGTAATAATTAAAAATGTTCTATATACATCCGTCTCTTTCTATATATTATATTTAGAGGGAGACGGAGGATGTAATATTTTTTAATTATTTAGTATAAATGATTAAAATCGTCCATAGTTATTACGCGAACGACATCTTACTAATAGTATAATGTCCGCGAATCACTAAGAGCTTTGCCTGTTTGTATTTTATTTATTTATTTATTATTTATTTTACTACCCGTTGTTGATATAATGACGGCGCGCGTACGACTCGGGATTGTAATAAATTAATTTTATAACACATATAGAAATACAAATGTGGCGTATATTTTTGTGTATCCCGTGCGTTGTATGCGCGGCGTCGCTATAATTGTTACTCGGCCCGCGGCCTGTGTTCATCTCGCCGGTTTTGGCGGCAAATTTTGACAGCTGTCATCGTGACAGTGACAGCTGTCATTCTTGACAGTGACAGCTGTCATCGCGACGTCATCCGGCCAAGTCAGTCGGCCGGGGGCGCCTCACAAGAATAATATTAGCCAAAGATGTTATCGCTAAATTGTTGAAATCGCTGTATTAATAATTAATTTATTATTATTATAATTTTTAATTTTAATGTGAGTCGGTTTGCGGGCGCGCCCACTAACTATTGTGTAAAGTAACAGATTTATATAATAGAATATATATTGAGATGAGTAAATAATTATTATATGTTTGTGTTTTATTTATATACCTTTTATGGCGAGTTTATTGATAGATAATAATTAGGTAACTATTTGTACCTATATTCATCATCATCAGTCAGTGGTGGCATAGTTGTTAAAAGGTCCGCCTCTCATTCATGAGGGCGCGGGTTCGATCCTGGCAAGTACCAATGTGATTTTTCCGAGTCATCTGTACTTTATAAGAATATTTAGACATCACTGATTAATGCATTCCCAAAGAGGGTTGATGTCAGGAAGGCGGGCGGTCGTAAAAACAATTAGACAAAACTATTCACAACATGTTAGGCAGACCCTGGTTAAAGCTGGGAAATTGACAGGTAGAAGAAGATTCATGTCATCATCATCCTATCAGAGCCCACTGCTGAGCCTCTTCTCACATGGAGAAGGTTTGAGCATTAATCACCACGCTTGCTCAAGAGGGGTTGGCGATTTCAAAACTTATTACATATTTAAAATTATAATAGAGAATTTCCTAAAGCATATGAGTAGTGATAAAATTCAAAAAAAATAAAAATGATAATACATAACCACGAAAAAATCATGAAATAAATATCTATTGGTTAGAGAATTCATATTTAAAAGAAAATGGTTAACTATTATATTAAATCTATTTACATCTTCATTTGGAAGCCCAATTAACGAATGTGTACTAGCGAAACTAATAATATACTGAAAAATAAAAATCTATTATCCTACGTCTTCATACAAAAAGGTTATACAAATAATATAATGGTTACATAAAAGACGCGGCCGGGAGTAACACTAGTATGTAAACGTTTACAAAGGATTTCCTTTTCCGGAGGAAGAAAGTGTTAATTGTTGGGAAGGTCTTTATGACCGCTTCCCTTGACAACGGATGGAATAATTCCTGCCTCAAAACACGAACAGGGTGAGGATCTTGGGACCCGGGAATAAGTATTATATGTAAATACTAAATTAAACATTACAATTATGATACTTAGAAGCTTATTACGACAATTACGAGCTATAAGTAAGTAAGTAAGCGTTTTTGGGATTATATGCAGCTATTAAATTCAATATTACAATTATAATAGACTTTTTTATGACATATTTTGACGTAATGTTATATAGCTACTAAATTAAATATTTCAATTATGATACTCACGACTTTTTTTACGTCATATTTCTTGACTAAGACTAAGCATTTAATAGCTACTAAATTAAATATGAAAATTATGACATTTATCTTACTTTAGTGACATTTTTGACGTCACATGTCATTTAAAAACAACTGGAAATTGTTGATTTTAATAAATAAGAAATATTCTCTGAAATAAAGATGTACCTATAATAATTTGAAGTTGAATAGTTTGTTTTATAATAATTAGTAATATTTCTACCAGCTAATAGATTAATTTAAAAGTACTCTTTATTTTTTTATCTATATACTTAACTAGCTTTCCGCCCGCAGCTTCGCCGCGTGGAGTTCGGTTATATCGCGTTTCCAAGAGAACCTTTCAAAAGTCTGGGATAAAAACTATCCTATGTTCTTTCTCAAGGTCAACTCTATCTCTGTACCGAATTTCATTAAAATCAGTTCAGTGGTTTAGGCGTGAAAGCGTAGCAGACAGACAGACAGACAGACAGACAGACAGAGTTACTTTCGCATTTATAATATTAGTAGGGATTTATAAAAACTCAAAGTTTTTACTACATTTTTCTATTGTGATGATTCCTAAGAAGGACCTGAGTACAATGCTCAATGATCTCAATAGAGCCTCCGAACGAGTTGGTCTTAAGATGAACATGGAGAAGACGAAAATCATGTCTAATGTCCATGTTGTACCGACTCCTATTAAGATCGGAGGCTCTACGCTCGAAGTTGTTGACAGCTACGTATACCTGGGACAAACGGTCCAGTTAGGTAAGTCCAACTTCGAGAAAGAGGTCAATCGTCGAATCCAACTCGGCTGGGCTGCGTTCGGGAAGCTACGTAGAATCTTCTCGTCCAGAATACCGCAGTGTCTCAAGCAGTGGCGGCTGGTGGGTTATCGAACTGGTGGTGCACTTTACTAAAATATTAAATTAGAAAATGTAACAAAAAACCAATTAACATGAACTATGTTTATTTATTATTCATTAAATCAATGCGACGACATTTTTCTGAAGAGAAATATTCAATCAAATTTTTATTAAAATCGGATATTTATTTTCTCAATACTAAGCATAGAAAGTCCATTTAGCAAGTGCATGGTATTTCGAAGAAAAGTTTTGATTCTTTTCAATTCCAATTCGTCATACATCGGGCGCTCTCGGTAATCTTCGGCCGCTCGAATACGATTTTTATACGTTTTTGTATGTTTAGAAAATAAATATTAAAATGGTAATTTAAAAATAAAGATGAAGTAATATTTTGTAATTTTCAAATCTTTTGAATTGGTGGTTCAGCGCACGAGTGCACTTAAGGTACAGCCGCCACTGATCTCAAGACAAAAGTCTTCGACCAGTGTGTGTTGCCAGTGCTAACATACGGCGCTGAGACGTGGCCGCTCACGATGGGCCTTATTAGAAAGCTCAAGGTCACTCAAAGGGCAATGGAGAGGGCTATGCTCGGAGTTTCACTGCGTGATCAAATCAGGAATGAGGAGATCCGCAGAAGAACGGGAGTCACCGACATAGCCCGAAGAATTGCAGAACTTAAGTGGCAGTGGGCAGGGCACATCGCTCGCAGAACTGATGCCCGATGGGGCCAACGGGTTCTTGAGTGGCGACCACGAGCCGGAAGACGCAGTGTGGGTAGGCCCCCAACAAGGTGGTCCGACGACCTGGTGAAGGTCGCGGGAATCCGCTGGATGCGGGTGGCACAAGACCGGTCGTCGTGGAGATCCTTGGGGGAGGCCTATGTCCTGCAGTGAACGTCTTTTGGCTGATGATGATGATGATTCCTAAAATTTTTTTCGCTTTTAGAAAGATGACAAAATAGAAATTACATCCTTTTAACAAGATAGATTAACTGATGTTTTATATATAAAATTATTTATTTATTTTAAAAATGTCTTTGAAACAAATACACAAGGATAAATGAGAGCATTTCTATCTGTAGAACTTATTATAGTATATTCTCTATGACACAGAAATGTGTACTAATTGTTTTTTTACTAAAGTTTCATTTGTACTGGAATCGTGTAATATTTTGGACTCATATTTGAACAATAAAATGTTCTTATTTTATTATTTATTATAAATAATTATTTTATTC